TCACAGACATGAAGCGAAGCTCAACAAAGAGCAAAGATGTGCAATTTTCACCTTGATGATAAAACGGGCCAAACATTTAAACAGATTTACATTGAAGAAAGGGACCTGAACCATAGAGACATGGGGTGCGTTTTCCATTTCCTAAAAACATTATTTGTCAACTATGGTTGCAAGTTCTCTTGTTAGCAACATAGTTTAACAATACTGTGTTACCAGCATCACAAAGTTGTGTGGTTGGAACTACAGCTCTCATAGTTTCTTGCTAGTATGACATGGGTTGCGTCCAAAAGCTTATAAATGCTGCGTTCGGAGGACGCATTCCATGGTAGGAAGGCATCAAGGCACGTCCGAACCCAATGTTAGCTTCACTTCCTGTCTCCTGAGATACCATCATCTGATCGATTTTATAATAGATGTTTCTGTCGCTGCGTTTGATATCCCACAATCCTGTGCTTTCCATTTGTGACAGTTGAGCTAGAAAATAAAGATGGCGCCTGAAAGTTGTGGTTGGTTCTCTCTTACGGAGGAAGACTGATAGTTTTCGTTGATTTACATCAATAATCTGGCATAAGATAAAAATCTGACAAAAAAATCAAATCGATAAATAATCAGAAGTATTTTGCTCCACCACCTGTGTGGTGGTCCATCACGGTACTTAAAACGCACCTCCGAGTATTATAGGGACATAGCAACACCCTAGCAACCACAAATAACATCCTTGCATGGTGACAGCACACCAACAATCACTCAGAACACCTTAGCAACCATATATCAGCGCTCAAGCAACCTCAAATAACACTCCAGCATGGTGGCAAAACACTAACAATCACTCAGAACACCTTAGCAACCACATAGCAACACCATAGAAACCTCAAATAACACCTTAGCATTATGGCAACGCTCTAGCGACCACAAATAAAACCTTTGCATGGTGGCAAAACACCAATAATCACACCTTAGCAACTATTTAGCAACCACAAATAAAACCGTAGCATGGCGGAAACACACCAACAATCATTCAGAACACCTTAGCAACCATATAACAACACCCTAGCAACCACAAATAACACCCTAGCATTGTGACAACACACCAACAAATCACTCAGAACCAATTAGCAACCACATAGCAACACTCTAGCAACCACAGATAACACCCTTGCATTGTGGAAACACACTAACAAATCACTCAGAACTCCTTAGCAACACCCCAGCAACCAGAAATAACACCCTAACATTATGGCTACACTAACTACAACTCAGAACACCTTAGTAACCACATAGCAACACCCTAGCAACTACAAATCAAACCTTGGCCTGGTGGCAACACACAAACAATCCCTCAGAACACCTTAGCAACTATATATCAACGCTCTACCAACCACAAATAACACCCTATAGTGGCAACACACCAAAAATCACTCAGAACACCGTAGCAACCATATAACAACGCTCTAGCAACAACAAATCACATCCTAGCATTGTGGAAACACACCAAAAATGACTCCGAACACCTTAGCAACCACATAGCAACATCATAGAAACCTCAAATAACAGCTTAGCATTATAGCAACACACTAGCAACCACTCAAAACACATTAGCAACCACAAATAGCACATTTATTGTGGCGACACTAACAGTCACTCAGAAAAACATAACAAGCACATAGCAACACCCTAGAAACCGCAAATACCACCATATCATTGTGGGCAGTAGGTTTTCCACAGGCAAACACCACTCATATTTCTAAGGATGCAGATGTATAAACTAGTTCTTTCAATGTAAAAATGTAGGGTTACACTATTTTAAGGTGTCCTTGTAAGTATAGTGATATTAATTAACTAGATTTTAGGTTAGAGTTAGGAGTAGAGTTTTTAGGGTTAGTTGCTTGTAATGCATAATTTACTGTTATTACTGTAGTAACTACATGTAACATTTGTAACAAAGACACTGTAAAATAAAGTGGGTAACACTATTTTACAGTGTCCTTATTACATATGTTACATGTACACTCTAAAAAAAGATGGTTCTTTAAAGGTTCATACAAGTAGTAACAGTTCTATTTAGTACCGTATCGTCCTGAAGAACCCTTTATATGCTGAAATGATTCTTTGTGTTTGAGTTTAGGGTTCTTTATTCTTTATTATTAAATCTGTAACTGTCACAGATTTTCTGGAGCTCAGCTATACAACTACACAGACTGTCAACATACTCTCAACAGGTAAATTATTCCTTTCTTAAAATGTCTATAAATTATAACTTAATTATAATTTGAACAATGAATTTATGATCCATATTGTTTGATTTTTTTAATTACGACTTTATGCCTAAACATACCCAGTTACAAAAAAAAAACATTAAAGCTATACCATGATGACTTTATATCACTTTTTCCTTTTAACATGGTAAAGGGCTCATACTGTCAATATTTGCAAATTTTGGCCTTCATTAACATAATTGTTTTTACATGATCAAAAAGAAGAGACACAATGTAACTAAACTCAATTGTGCATTTCAGATGCTGTCACGTATCATAACCTCATCATCTGCAGAGAGAAAGTACACACATAATGAAGGACGTAAAGACATCATATGCGATTGTGAAGATATTTCACTGGAACTTGGTCTTCATTACATCTATATCGTGTTCAATGTCAACTGTTATTTATTAATGTATTCAGCTAACCTCTGTTGTTAGAGCACTGCCAATGAAAAATAAAAGTACCTAATTGACACAACATGCTGTTTTTTTTTGTTTTTTTTTCAAATGTAAAACCCAAGTAGAGGCAACAAGATATAAGACCAGGCAGATAGAGGGCTAAAATATTAATAATATGAAGATTCTAATATACTAATATTAATGAAAATAAATATAATTGAAAGGTTTATTTATAAATATAAAACCATTAAGGTCTGATATTGCACTTTCAAATCATGGTTCTTTATGGAACCTTATAAAAAAGGGTTCTATTTAGCACCACAAATGTTTCTGCTCTTCGAAGAACCCTAATTTGGTACTGTTTAGAACTATTTTTCTTAAGAGAGTACTTACCATAGTAATAACAGTAAATTATGCATAATTACATGCAACTAACCCTCCACCAAATCCTAATCCTACCCTAACCCTTCTTCAGTAAGTATGTATTTAATTAATATTACTCAGTACTTAAATATATAATTACATTGTAACAATGACACCTTAAAATAAAGTGTTACTATAAAGTGTTACCAAATGTAGTTCTTTCTGTCATTGTAAGAGAAGAAATATTGTAATGATATGAGACATTCTCTTCTTAATTCGATCCAGTGTAATGCTTGATCCACATTTCACATTTTAAAATGTGCATTTTAAATTGAAGTGTGCTATAGCAGCCTGCGTCACAGGTAATAACAGCAAGGTCAAAAGCTGATGGTCATCAGAGCTGAACCAGAGCTGCTCAGTCGAGCACACAGAGACACTGTCCTGTATGAGACCATAAGCCCATCATCACTCACTGCAGAATGATGTGTTTGGAGCAGGGGAGCTGCCTGTCCTGACCCTGCAACCCCTTGATTGGATCTAAATCTAAACCATATTAATGTTTTAAACATGTAATTTTAAATTATAATTATATAAAATGTATTGCAAAAATTGTAAATGTATTTTCAGTTACACATTTTCCAACATGAGATTCCCAAACATTAAAGGCCCACTGAAGTGCCTTGAAACGTGCAGTATTATTCCATGTGTTGAGGTAATTTCCACTGAAACAGGAAGACAGGAAGGCATCTCCTCCTTTTTTAAAATAGCCAATAGCGTTTCGTTTATATCACAGCTTGACCAAGAGCTGTTGATCTCAGTAAAGCCGCATTTGACTGCGTATGATAGCCACAGTCTAATAGATTCCCCTTTAATATTTAATATGAAACTGTTAGTAAAGCAAAACAGTGAACATAATCAAGAATGTGCTGTTTGAAAAGTGTAATTTATGTTGGTGTTATCTCTTCTACTTATCGAGTATGTCTAATCGTTTCTCCTCCATCGCTTTAAAATACAGCATTCTGTGCAGAATTTAAATGGGTCCGATACGTTTTGTGGTCTGCACCACATATGATGCGCTCTGTGCTATCATGTCTCCGGACCGGAGCTGCGGCTGTTCGCTTGACAATAACGTGAAACCAGACTTCATTCGCCCCAATGGAAAGCACAATGTTTGAATCATTCCCTATAGAGCACTATGTGCCATTCACCATGTAGAAAATAGTAAATGTGTGAACAAGTGATGATTTTCGCCACAGCTTCAATGCCTATTTATAATGTAGGGGGCGGAGCTTCATATTCTAGAGAGCATTTCGAATCATTGATCCATATTGGCGTAAGTGAGAGACTGTAAGTTTATAGAATACTAGCTTATAGATAACATAATAAAAGCCTAAAATCTTCATTTTTGAATTCATTTGGACTTTATGAACATAAAGCATTTCTAGCTTCATTTGAGGTCAGTCAGTCATTGCTGAAAATAAATACTTGTGGTTCAGTGAGAGAGTCAGATGTTGATTCAGTAGCAGCTCTGGACCAGAGCCTCTGGTGGATTCATTGAGTTCATTCAGTAAAGGATTTGTCAGACTGATTCAAACCAATAAAGTGAGTCTTTTGTGCTGTTCAATAAAAGAACCTGCTCGTAAGTCATTTTTTCATTAATCGGACTACATTGGTTGAAGCATTGTGCTTTTTATTGTGCTGTAGTTAAATGTTTTTCATAACAATCATATTTAGTATATTAAGAAATATTGACCTGTCATATAAAAAATTTTTTTTCTGGTTTTCCCCCTGTATATTAGTGTATTTTTTCCCCTCTTGTAAATCAATGAACTTATTTTACACACAACGGTCAATATTATGATACTGTCAATATATTCACGAGAACTAGCTGGCTCACTATTATATTTTATCTTAAATCTCTGCTGTAATCATGTGATTTGGTTTTGATTTTTATTCCTTTGATTTTTCTTTCCTCCACAGAGAGACACTAAAGGGCAGTTTCTCTTGGATCATGTGTGTAACTACTACAGCCTGCTGGAGAAAGATTACTTTGGCATCAGATATGTGGATCCAGAGAAACAAAGGGTAACTACACATTCACCACTCGGGGGCCCAATATTCATTAAATAAATTCTGACCTAAAAGTTCATTATAACTTCAGCAGATATACTGTGGCTCCAACATAAAACGCATCAAAACAAGTCAAGTCACCTTCATTTATATAGCGCTTTAAACAATATGGACTGTTTCAAAGCAGCTTTACATTGATAATAGGAAATTAAAGTAACAGAGATTGTTTTGGCTTTACAGCAGCTCTAGAATAAAGTTATTGTCCAGCTAAAGTTAGTTTTGATCGATTCCCTTCCGATGCAAAGATCATTAGTTATTAACTTAGGGGCCGCTTACACGTCACAGTTCTAACAGAAACCCTTAACGTGCTCCGGCCCGCTCATCCGCATAACAACAGTGCCTGGTGGCTCGAGAGCGCAAACCTTGAAATAGGTTCCAAAGTGCAAGCCTTAAAGAAAAAATAAATAAATTATATATACAGTATATATATATATATATATATATATATATACAGGTCCTTCTCAAAAAAATAGCATATTGTGATAAAGTTCATTATTTTCCATACTGTAATGATACAAATTAAACTTTCATATATTTTAGATTCATTGCACACCAACTGAAATATTTCAGGTCTTTTATTGTTTTAATGATGATGATTTTGGCATACAGCTCATGAAAACCCAAAATTCCTGTCTCAAAAAATTAGCATATCATGAAAAGGGTCTCTAAACGAGCTATTAACCTAATCATCTGAATCAACTAATTAACTCTAAATACCTGCAAAAGATTCCTGAGGCTTTTAAAAACTCCCAGCCTGTTTCATTACTCAAAACCGCAATCATGGGTAAGACTGCCGACCTGACTGCTGTCCAGAAGGCCATCATTGACACCCTCAAGCAAGAGGGTAAGACACAGAAAGAAATTTCTGAACAAATAGGCTGTTCCCTGAGTGCTGTATCTAGGCACCTCAGTGGGAAGTCTGTGGGAAGGAAAAAGTGTGGCAAAAAACGCTGCACAACGAGAAGAGGTGACCGGACCCTGAGGAAGATTGTGGAGAAGGACCGATTCCAGACCTTGGGGGACCTGCGGAAGCAGTGGACTGAGTCTGGAGTAGAAACATCCAGAGCCACCGTGCACAGGCGTGTGCAGGAAATGGGCTACAGGTGCCACATTCCCCAGGTCAAGCCACTTTTAAACCAGAAACAGCGGCAGAAGCGCCTGAGCTGGGCTACAGAGAAGCAGCACTGGACTGTTGCTCAGTTTTGCATGTCATTCGGAAATCAAGGTGCCAGAGTCTGGAGGAAGACTGGGGAGAAGGAAATGCCAAAATACCTGAAGTCCAGTGTCAAGTACCCACAGTCAGTGATGGTCTGGGGTGCCATGTCAGATGCTGGTGTTGGTCCACTGTGTTTTATCAAGGGCAGGGTCAATGCAGCTAGCTATCAGGAGATTTTGGAGCACTTCATGCTTCCATCTGCTGAAAAACTTTATGGAGATGAAGATTTCATTTTTCAGCACGACCTGGCACCTGCTCACAGTGCCAAAACCACTGGTAAATGGTTTACTGACCATGGTATTACTGTGCTCAATTGGCCTGCCTACTCTCCTGACCTGAACCCCATAGAGAATCTGTGGGATATTGTGAAGAGAAAGTTGAGAGACGCAAGACCCAACACTCTGGATGAGCTTAAGGCCGCTATCGAAGCATCCTGGGCCTCCATAACACCTCAGCAGTGCCACAGGCTGATTGCCTCCATGCCACGCCACATTGAAGCAGTCATTTCTGCAAAAGGATTCCCGACCAAGTATTGACTATTGAGTGCATAACTGAACATAATTATTTGAAGGTTGACTTTTTTTTTTGTATTAAAAACACTTATTTTATTGGTCGGATGAAATATGCTAATTTTTTTTAGACAGGAATTTTGGGTTTTCATGAGCTGTATGCCAAAATCATCAGTATTAAAACAATAAATGACCTGAAATATTTCAGTTGGTGTGCAATGAATCTAAAATATATGAAAGTTTAATTTTTATCATTACATTATGGAAAATAATTAACTTTATCACAATATGCTAATTTTTTGAGAAGGACCTGTATATACATATATACTGTCTATATATATATATATATATATATATATATATATATATATATTTTATCTCTGCGCAAGCTTTAAAAAAAGTTTTTTCAAACCTGTGAAAACGCTGATGGCGTGCACATGCATATTACGTGTTTAGTCTATAGGTATGCGCGTTTGAATATATATGTGCACAGGCGTGTAGTCTTTCTTTACAAATTGTCCTCAACAAATTACTTTTCTGGCTCTAAAAATTTATAATACCAAATTATTTATCGCTTCCGAGTAGCCATGTGAACCAGAACTATTTTGACAACGTTTTATCTGTACAGAGGTAAAGGGAAGGAGAAGTGGAGAAGTCTCTCCTTCACAGGGGAGAGACTAGTTGAAACTTCAGGGCTGAGTTGTCGTCGTGTCCAGGCGCAGGTCCTTCATCAGATCTGGATGCGGCCTGGATCCGGCGGACTGCGGTAAACCTCGGGATAAACAGAGAGACTAATATTAGCCTAGATGCCATTCTTCTTATGATGTAATGAGTACATCAGGATTTATGGGGAGAGTTCCCGGATCCGGCTGACCTAATCTATGCAGCCTAACATTGAATTATAGAAGTTTATAATGTGTTATGTGTATGCTAGGTCAAAGAGATGTGTTTTTAGTCTAGATTTAAACTGACAGAGTGTGTCTGCTTCTCGGACAATGTTAGGAAGATTGTTCCAGAGGTTTGGTGCTAAATAGGAAAAGGATCTACCGCCAGCAGTCGATTTAGATATTCTAGGTATTATCAACTGGCCAGAATTTTGAGATCGCAATAGACGCGAAGGACTATAATGTGTTAAGAGCTCGCTCAAGTACTGGGGAGCCAAACCATTTAGTGCTTTTTAAGTAATCAGCAATATTTTAAAATGTATATGTTTAATAGGGAGCCAATGCAGTGTTGAAAGAACTGGGCTAATATGGTCATACTTCCTGGTTCTGGTAAGAACTCTAGCGGCTGCGTTTTGAACTAGCTGTAGTTTATTTATTAAGCGTGCAGGGCAACCACCCAGTAGTGCATTACAATAATCTAGCCTTGATGTCATGAACCCATGAACGAATTGTTCCGCATTTGTCATTGAGAGCATTTGACGTAATTTAGATATATTTTTAAGATGGAAGAATGCGGTTTTACAGATACTAGAAACGTGACTTTCAAATGAAAGATTGGTATCAAAGAGCACATCCAGGTTCCTAACCGACGACAAAGGTTTGACAAGGAAGCCATCAAGTGTTATACAGTATTCTAGGTTAGTACGTAAGGACGTTTTTTGTCCAATGATTAGAATCTCTGTTTTTTCAGAATTAAGTAGTAGGAAATTACTAGTCATCCAATTTTTTATATCGGCTATGCATTTCGTTAATTTTGTGAATTGGTAAGTTTCGTCAGGGCGTGAAGAAATATAGAGCTGAGTGTCATCAGCATAACAGTGAAAACTAATGCCATCCTTCCTAATGATATCTCCCAAGGGTAGCATGTACTGAGTGAATAGCAACGGTCCTAGTACTGAGCCTTGTGGTACTCCATACTGGTACTCAAGACATCTCTTCATTTACTGCTACAAACTGATAATGGTCAGATAAGTATGATTTAAACCATGCTAATGCAATTCCACTAATGCCAACATAATTTTCGAGTCTATTTAAAAGAATGTTGTGGTCAATGGTATCAAATAAGATCGAGTAACACTAATAGAGAGATACAGCCATGATCGGATGATAAGAGCAAATCATTTGTGACTCTAATGAGAGCTGTCTCAGTACTATGGTACGGTCTAAATCCTGACTGAAAATCCTCGCAGATACCATTTCTTTCTAAAAAGGAACACAGTTGTGAGGATACTGCCTTTTCTAGGATCTTCGACAGAAAAGGTTGATTCGAGATCGGCCTGTAATTGATTAATTCTGTAGGATCAAGTTGCGTTTTTTAACAAGTGGTTTAATCATAGCCAGCTTAAAAGTTTCTGGTACGTATCCTAATGACAAAGATGAATGAATGATATCAAGAAGAGGATCTATGACCTCTGGAAGCATCTCTTTCAATAGCTTAGTCGGAATAGGGTCTAACATACATGTTGTCGATTTAGATGATTTAACAAGTTTAGAAAATTCTTCCTCTCCTATAGCAATGAATGAATCGAATTTTTCATCAGGGAGACTGCAATGCACTGGCTGATGCAAAACTGTAGTAGACGGTTGCATAGTTATAATTTTCTCCCTGATATTATCAATCTTGTAAGAAGTTCATAAAGTCATTACTGCTGTGCTGCTTGGAAATGTCTGGGGTTGAAGCTTTATTTAACCTTAATTTAGCCACTGTTTCAAATAAATACATGTTTATTTTCTTCTAATAGGGATGAACAATAAGCAGATCTAGCAGTGTTTAAGTGTTCTGTACGCAATCGTGCTCTCTTTCCATGAAATGCAAAAAAACTTCCAGTTGCGCTCCATTTTTCTGGCTGCTCTCTTAAGGGCCTGAGGGTGTACCACGGCGTTGGATTATTTTCTTTAATCTTCTTTAAGCGCAAAGGAGCAACTAAAGTGCTGGAAAAGAGAGAGTCAAACGTTTCTGTCGCAATATTGAGTTCTTTTTAGCTATCTGGGATGCTTTGGAGATGAAACTGATGAGGAATGTTATTAATAAAGCTATCTTTAGTAGCAGAAGTGATAGGTCTAACATATTTGTAACACGGAGTCGGCTTTGCAGCCTTGGCTAAATGAAGTATACACAAGACTAGATAATGATCTGAGATGTCATCGCTCTGCTGCAGAACTTCAACGGCATCAACATTGATTCCATGTGATAATATTAGATCTAGAGTATGATTACGACAATGAGTAGGTCCCCAATGCATATTTTTCGTTATCTACATGTATATTAAAATCACCAACAATTAGGACTTTATCTGCAGCCAGTACTAACTCTGATAGAAAAATAGTAAATTATTTGATAAAGTCTGTATGGTGGCCTGTATACAGTAGCCAGCTCAAATTCTAAATGTGATTTATCATTTACATTAGATAGTGTTACATTAAGCACCAACATTTCAAATGAATTATATCTGAAACAAGACTTCTCAGTAATTCTGAAGATATTACTATAAATTACAGCTACACCTCCCCCTTTGCCTTTCAGACGAGGCTCATGTTTATAACAGTAACCCTGCGGGGTGGACTAATTTAAAGTAATGTAATCGTCTGGTTTTAGCCAGGTTTCTGTCAAACACAGCACACCTAGGTTATAATCTGTAATCATATAATTAACAATAAGTGCTTTTGAAGTAATATATAGGGATAGAATATTCAGTAACCCGAGCTTTATCATTTGTTCATTTGTATTATATCTGTTTTTATTTGTTTAACATCAATTACATTTTTACCCTTAAATGGGTATGGGAGTTTTTTGTATTTCCTATTTCGGGGAACAGACACAGTGTCTATATGATGATATCTAGGTGAAAGAGTCTATGTGATGGGATTTATCTGACCTCAGTGACGTGAGACAGCTAGCAGACGGTCGGTTTAGCCAGTCTGTCTGCTTCCTGACCTGGGCCCCAATTCATGTTTGAATCTGTGGAATCAAGTGGAATCCGCAATAAAATTCTGCACAAGCTTTTACAATAACTAAACCTCAAACATACATACAACTTAAAATCCTGTTTCCTGAGTGGCAAGTACAACACGGTTAAAAAATTTGTGGTCCGTAAGATTTTGTTTTTGAAAGAGGTCTTGGTTACATTTTATTTTAAGGTGACATTGTTATAGTGTAATTACACAAATAAGTGCATACTACATGTATGCCTACTTACTTTAGGGTTAAGATTAGGTTTAGGGTTTGGTTTAGGGTTAGTTACTTATAATTATGCAGAATTTACTGTTGTTAAGTATATGTAACCTTTAATTACACCTTAAACTAAAGTGTTACCAAAGTCTCTTATGCTCACCAAGGCTGCATTTATTTTTTCAAAAATACAGAAAAAACAGTAACACTGTGAAATTTTATATTTGAAAACATTTTTAAAAATTGTAAAAGTAATGTAAAAGTTTTTACTGACACTTTTGATCAATTTAACATCTAAAAATCTTTCTCACCCCAAACTTTTGAACAGTAATATAAACACTCGCAAATCTTACATGTACTTATTTCTGTACTATCACCAGATATTGTATCCTTAAGTAGCCTATCATACTGGCTTTAAATTCTGATAAAAGTTACCATGACAACCAACCAAGGGGTTTTACCCTACTGTATGCACGACAATGTTTCTTCAGTCGAGCAGAAAACCTCCCAGCAGAACTGTAGTGAATTATTTACAGTCATTTATGTTGTAATATTAATGCTCGCTATAGAAAAAAGGGATCGTTCATCAGTGGGAATGTTGTTTACGATCATTTCCCGAGCAGGATGCTTATCCAAAGTGCTTACCATAAACATTTTTGATTTGTCACCATCTTTACTCGTCAGTGCACAGAAGTGAATAATTTCTTTCTCTTGTCATTTTATACAGCATTGGTTGGACCCGAGCAAACCAGTAGTGAAACAGATGAAATGTAAGTTTCATTTATTTCGTTCTTGCCCTCAAGGTGGCAGCAAGTCACATTTACTTACTGTTGTTCGTGAATTTTTGACGGTGAAACCAGTTTCAATAGGAATTTTGCATAAGGTGGAAACATTTTCCAATGCATATTTCACAAAGGGTTCAAGTTGGTCACATGGTTGCTTTGACCAATATTAAGCTGCTTGGTTTGAAAGTGACTTAAACTGTGCATCTCTCATTGCTATTTAGAATAAACAATGGACTTTTTTGCCAATGTGACCGCGTCTTTACATAGGTAAAACATCACTCGCATTCAGAGATGTTTTATGTCGAATTACAGAAGGGAGGTGAATGAACACGTAGCAGACAAGTGACAGAGAGAGATCGTAGACAAAGTGACGTCAATGAAGTCAATCTTTCCCTTTGAGCTCTAAACTTCTCAGAGTCATTACGTTTATCTTTGAAGGCTTCATTTCATTCTTCACCAGAGGGGTTTCCCTCATCTCATGGATTAATATAATCATTTTAGCTCTCCTCATGCCCTTGGTTACAGTTCTCTGCATAATCTGTCTCACACTTACTGGCTTACGCTCAAGTTGTCTCTCTCTCCCCTCATCTGTTTGTTGATGTTGTGCTGTTTTCAGGTCACCAGCCATACACTATGTGCTTCAGGGTGAAGTTCTACCCTCAGGAGCCAATCAAGATCAAGGAAGAGCTGACAAGGTAACAGTTCTCTGATCTAATGTTCAAATTGCATTGGAAGGACATAAAAACAAGCCCGGCCAGTCACAGTATAAACAGCCCTGAATCGCTCAAGTCAAGTATATGAGATTGAGGATTTTCTGGAAGAGATTTGCATTTTTAAAACGCCTCCTGAGCAGATTGTTCCAGTTTCATTTGAAAGAGCATGTTTACTTTGTAGCTGAAGCCAGAACGGCTGATCGGTGGCTTCTTTCATGTCAAAGTAACCAATGTGATCTCATTACAGTGCATCTCACGAAACCTGTCAAGAACATGTACATTCATATTTCACTCCAAAATCAGAAGAAATGCGAAAATATATTTTGTTAAAAAAAATTTACAAAGCTTTTTTCATAAATTTTACGCACATAGACTAATATATAACAGCTACTGTATATAACTATTATATAACAGCTATAATCTATTGTCATTTGAAATGAAAATGTATTCTCTATACAGACACTGTATATCGTGTATTTAAATTAGTGCTGTTAAATCGATTATTCGTGAGATATTTATATATATATATATATATACTGTATATGTGTATGTATGCATTTATATGTACATATACACTCACCTAAAGGATTATTAGGAACACCTGTTCAATTTCTCATTAATGCAATTATCTAATCAACCAATCACATGGCAGTTGCTTCAATGCATTTAGGGGTGTGGTCCTGGTCAAGACAATCTCCTGAACTCCAAACTGAATGTCAGAATGGGAAAGAAAGGTGATTTAAGCAATTTTAAGCGTGGCATGGTTGTTGGTGCCAGATGGGCCGGTCTGAGTATTTCACAATCTGCTCAGTTACTGGGATTTTCACGCACAACCATTTCTAGGGTTTACAAAGAATGGTGTGAAAAGGGAAAAACATCCAGTATGCGGCAGTCCTGTGGGCGAAAATGCCTTGTTGATGCAAGAGGTCAGAGGAGAATGGGCCGACTTATTCAAGCTGATAGAAGAGCAACTTTGACTGAAATAACCACTCGTTACAACCGAGGTATGCAGCAAAGCATTTGTGAAGCCACAACACGCACAACCTTGTGGCGGATGGGCTACAACAGCAGAAGACCCCACCGGGTACCACTCATCTCCACTACAAATAGGAAAAAGAGGCTACAATTTGCAAGAGCTCACCAAAATTGGACAGTTGAAGACTGGAAAAATGTTGCCTGGTCTGATGAGTCTCGATTTCTGTTGAGACATTCAGATGGTAGAGTCAGAATTTGGCGTAAACAGAATGAGAACATGGATCCATCATGCTTTGTTACCACTGTGCAGGCTGGTGGTGGTGGTGTAATGGTGTGGGGGATGTTTTCTTGGCACACTTTAGGCCCCTTAGTGCCAATTGGGCATCGTTTAAATGCCACGGCCTACCTGAGCACTGTTTCTGACCATGTCCATCCCTTTATGGCCACCATGTACCCATCCTCTGATGGCTACTTCCAGCAGGATAATGCACCATGTCACAAAGCTCGAATCATTTCAAATTGGTTTCTTGAACATGACAATGAGTTCACTGTACTAAAATGGCCCCCACAGTCACCAGATCTCAACCCAAAAGAGCATCTTTGGGATGTGGTGGAACGGGAGCTTTGTGCCCTGGATGTGCATCCCACAAATCTCCATCAACTGCAAGATGCTATCCTATCAATATGGGCCAACATTTCTAAAGAATGCTTTCAGCACCTTGTTGAATCAATGCCACGTAGAATTAAGGCAGTTCTGAAGGCGAAAGGGGGTCAAACACAGTATTAGTATGGTGTTCCTAATAATCCTTTAGGTGAGTGTATATGTGTGTGTATATTGTCACAGGTGGGTGCAGCTAAACAGACGAAGAAAATGAATAAAGTTCCAACACCAAGTTTAATTTTTAATTAGTCAAGAACTTGTTTTTAGCTAGATTTGTAAAAGATTTTTCTTTTCATCATTTCAGACATCCTTATTTTTCCATAAATTAATATGAAAAATGTTTGCTCCTCAATTTTTATGTTAATAGGATTTTTTTTCCTCAAAAGGAAGCAAAAAAATATTCTGAATAGATTGTCAGTGTCAATGTGTGTCACATATTCCTCTCACATTATCAGAGAGCGACGTTCCAAGCACGAGCTTTGATTCCATCTCACTAATTCTCTCAAACACACACACACGTGCGCGCACAGACATCTGCACACATACACAAACACACACTCACAGATTGTTGGTGTGACTAAATCATTAGTGCTGGTCTCACAACATGGTGCTCAGTGTATGTACACCATCTGAACTGTCAAGATAAATGTGTTTGTCTTTCTCGATCTTCCACGGTTTCTCTGTGCGCTGGAAAACGAGAATGTTCCTGTGGCCAGACAGAAGCTTTAGAGAGAGCGAGGCGTATGTGTGTGAGAGGGAGCCCAGGTGGTCTGAGTTTAAATGGTTTCATCCTGTGAAAGAGAAAGCAAGGGTTTGAGATGGACAAGAGATGCATTAATGTGCCAGTTCATGCTATTTTCCGCTCCATACTAGAGTTTTTCCTGTTAAAGCTGCTTGACACAGAAAACAACTATATATATTTGTCCTACCGCTCTCTCTCTCTTTAATATTTAATATAAAGAATGGATTTGAGAGCAGTGGGTTACACAGAGCGAGAATGGAGAAGACACATGCAAGTGCACAAAAGCATGATGCAAACGTTTGGCAAATGCATTGCAGTTCCGTCATACAAACTTTAGAAATCACCATGAAATCCAAATGGACCCTGTTATTTTTATTGTGAATGATTAATATATGGTCAGTGCACATTATTCCAATGCTAAAAAAAAGTTTAGTTAAAGAACTTGCTTCCACCTCTGAAATTACTTCACTGGATAATATCAAGCCCCTCTATTGACCTAATTATTTTTTCCTTGAATATCATGTTTCACTTGGAAATGTGTCTCATCACCTTGCCAAGAAGTGCACTTAATTGTATTGAATGTGCACTTGTATTTCAAATGTCCTTGTTTAAAAAAAAAAAACCTGTACTTGCAGATAATGTCATTTTAATGAAATAATGTTTTCACACTTGAAAAAAAGTGCACTTTGTAATAATGTACAATTAAAATTTTTACTTTAAAGTATTTTTTCAATCATAATGTTTTAATATTTTTCTCATGCTTTAAAAAGTACACTTATTTTGATGTGTTGACAAACATACTAAAGCACATTAGTACTTAATTATAATTTTATCTCTAGTTTGTTATTAAATATTAAATTTAAAGTTAACATATTTTAAAATGTACTAAATTGCAAATTCATATTTACAAATGTGTAGTTACAAATATATTGAAATACATGACTTAGAAGTTTCAGTAGACATTTAAGTATATAGTTTGCCATGATTGCTTGTCAGTACATTCACACTTTAACCATGTTTTAAAAACAATAGAAGTTATCATAGAATTACATATGAAGAAGATCTACTTAAGTTCTATTTGGGTTACTACAAAATTCAACTAATTGCATTTATTAAAACGCTAAATTATAATACAATTTAATTTAATTGCAATTAACATGTAATTAAGTGTCTAAAAGCTTTGTATTCAGTTTGCATTTAAGTACTGTATATTCGTTTAATGTAGATTATTTTCATAACAAGTACTCTTTTTTTAATGTATGCTAAAGTGCACTTCTTTTTTTTCAAAGGGAAGTGAAATAGATTTTAAATTCCGTTTGCACTTGTCCTCTCTTAAATAATGTAGAGCCATTGTGCATTTTAAAGTTTGACCATAATTCAAAAAAAATACATATACTGTATATTGAGCTCCTACTGTACATACGTAGAACACAACCAAATGCACTTTTTTGGTACTTTGTTAAAAATGAAGTACAGATTCTCATTGGGATTATGTTCTATTTATATCATGCTGTACTTATGTTATAAGTGCATGTCCGTATTCCGTCTTAAATGTCATTGTCAGTTCAGACTTACCTCTGTGAGGTGTGTCATGTGCACTTATTTTTAGGCCTTACAAACGTAACATTTCTTAAAGGAAACAGTAGTGTTGAGTGCTCAGTTATGTTAGTGTACTAAAGCAGGGCTAGTTTGCCAGTGAGCACAGACCATCTGGTAGACTTCTCTGCTCTGAAAATCAGAAGAGGATGCCAGAACTGAATGGTATCAAAATGTTATTTTTATTAAATACCAGCCAATTGCGAAACTAGAAGGTCATTCTACAGCTGTCAAACTTTGAGACATAGCATCCTGTTCAGTAAACTGCTGTTTTAGATGTTCCACACATTTCAGTAGGATTTTGGGGTGCTGTTATTGTTACTGGTGTGTTTGTGCTTATTACTCTGCAGGACAGATCACCTGCCACATTAAGGCACATTTTGACAGGATGTAAGGTGGCTCTTAGCCAGGGTCGGTTTACTTGGCGCCATGACCAAGTACTGCGATGTTTGGCTTTAGCATCGGAAGGCAAGCGTAACATGACCAACAAGTTGCCGCCTGTTCTAGCAAAACATTACACACAGAAGACAATACTCCTCCGCCCAGGCGAGCAACCACCAAGAAAAGGTGTTAAAAACAATTCTTGCCCAGGACAACTGGAAGCTGCTGGGGACTGGAAAATGCTGGCTGATCTTGATCAACGGCTTATTTTTCCACCTGAGATTGCCACCACTAACCTACGACCAGATATTGTTTTGTGGTCTGGATCAGCACACATTGTTCAACTGATAGAGTTAACAGTGCCATGGGAGGATGCGGTAGATGAGGCATATGAGAGGAAGAAACTGCGGTATGCTCATCTGGCCACTGAAGCAGAACAGCGAGGATGGAGAGTCCAGGTTTACCCAGTGGAAGTGGGTTGTCGAGGTTTTGTGGCACACTCTACAACCCGGTTCCTCAGAGACGTCGGATTCAGTGGCCAAGAGTTGCGTCGCACAGTAAAGAACTTATCTGAAGCAGCAGAGAGGAGCAGCAACTGGCTGTGGTTGAGACGGAAATATTCTGGCTGGCTGTGTACAGGCCGCCACGCTACGGTTTCGTAGAATTCTTGAAAAACTCAAAGAGTCTGTTGGTTTATTTGTATAGTTTGCATAGTAAGTACAGTTATTACGTTCCTGTGTATATTGCGTGAATGAGGGTTGGTGTTTGGGCAGATATTGTGTTTTGCGGTAGGTAGTATGCCATACGGAACCGTTGCCACTGAACCTACTTTAACGAAGACAGTGGGGCTCGACAGCCTTAGTCAAACGGGTTGGCGCGTATAGTTGGATTGTGAGATTGTGGTTAGGTCACATGTGAACTACGAGGAAGGAGCAACCTCAGCAGCAGGAGGGATGTAGAGGTCAGTAAGCTGGGCTGAGTTGAGTGGGGGACGGAGGGGGGTGACTCTGGGACGCCAGAGTCACTGTCGAGCCCTCTTGAGGTGTTGTGGGCTAGTCGACGAAACACTGAGGACGGAAGGTGCCCAGAGAAATGTCCCCTACTCGGCTCAATCCAGACGGTTGTCGTGCTGGTCCACTGGGGAGACCACACTGTAGTTGCAGCCGTCGTGTGTGCTGACGCGCCAAGTACACTGCAGTCGTTAACGCCGGACAGAAGGAGATTCACATCACCATATGGAAAGAAGCGTAAATGGATGGAGAAGCATAGGTTACTGTAAAGCTACGTCTTAGTTTGTGCTGATCTTGGCGAAAGCCGAGTACAAACCAGCATGAATTTTTAACATCTACTCTCGTGTAATGGAAATCATTATGTCCTTCACATTGGTTTTTTTTAGATCCAAGTGTGAACAGCAAAAATCACACTGAACCTGACGTTTTCAACTATGTTCAATTCTATTTTTTTTTACGTCATTCTAAGTTGACAATCATTACCGTGCACATGATTTGCCCTTAATAATAAAATTATTTATGAATTGAACTGTATGACGTTGCAAAAACATAAAGTTTGCACTTAAGTATATTCTTTGAAACTTTATTGTTTACGTAATAAGTGCTCTTTTTGAAAGAATGCTAAAGTGAAGTAAAGGACTTCTTTTTCACAAGGCTTTTAGTGTGAATGCAGCCAAAGAGAAAGAATCCATGGTGAATGATTCATGTTGAAATAACACTAAGACTCTTTTGAAATATCTCCTCTCTTGTTGTTTCTCTGTCAGGTACCTTCTGTACCTACAGTTGAAGAGAGACGTGTACCACGGTAGGCTTTTATGTCCGTTCGCCGATGCTGCGTATCTTGGAGCCTGTATAGTGCAGGGTAAGAATACAACTTCATCTACAACCAATCACACATTTCATTACATTGTGTTCTGCAACCAAAGCTTGAATATTATTTGATTGATAGCACCAGTAGCATGGTGTTCCTGAGCAATTTTCTTCTGGAAGCTTTTTAACTAATGAGCAGTCATATTTCAAACCTCTTTCCATATTTTCTTGCTCAAAGTGAACAACAAAGAGAGTTTCTAATGAATATGAACCTCATTTAGACCAGGAACAGATGAGAGTCTCTTGTTCTAGATACACAGGTATCTTAATAGGCTCTTTAGCTTTTTCATGTGGTTATTTGATGATTTTTAAGGCTGTTTGTCTTGTTCTAGCTGAACTTGGGGACTATGATCCTGAGGAACATCCTGTTGACTACATCAGCGACTTCAAGCTCTTCCCCAAACAGTCCCTCAAACTAGAGCGCAAAATCATAGAGATCCACCAAAATGAGCTGAGGTGAGAGAACAAAAATTAAGCTGTCTGCCAATTGGAGTTCTACATTTATTTGTGCTATACAACTGTTCAAAAGTTTGAGGTCAGTATGATTATTTCATGTTTGAAAGTAGTCTCTTATGCTCACCAATGCTGCCTTTATTTGATCATAAATACAGCAAAAACAGTAATATTGTGAAATATTATTACATTTTAAAATGCTTTCAGTTAAAACAACTTAAACATGCATTTTAGTCTGGACCTTGGCTTAAGCCTTGTCTGTGAAACCAGGGGTTTATGTAGTTGGAGATCTTAGATTGTAAAATTACCATTGTTTCTGTAGGGGACAGTGTCCTGCACTCGCCGAGTTAAACCTTCTTCAGAGGGCCTACACACTAGACACATATGGAGTGGACCCACACCCGTGCAAGGTACTGACTCACCTCAGAAACGTACAAAATATCTATTATATACTGCATCTAGTATCTACGAAATATCTAGTATTAAATACATATAAAATACAATATATATAGCTAAAACATCATAAATCTGATCTTTGATTTAATTTGTTTCAGGATTTCACAGGATCCACAGCTTTCCTGGGATTCACTGCAAGAGGGTTTGTAGTTTTCCAGGGAAATAAGAGGATACATCTTTTAAAATGGTAACTTTAAAAAACATCTTATCATTAGCTGCACTCTCAGATTCACTCTCCATCTCCACCTCATCCTACTCAGTGTAGTTTAGTGTAAGGTGCGGTCACAAAAATGTCAAAAAGGTCCATTGTCTATTGTCAGTTGTGTAGTGATGTAGCACAGCTCACACAGAAGCCACTTTTAAAACAAGAAGCTTTCTGTTGGTCAACGTGGCAAATCCCCCTGTTGTGAAATTCCCAATCACGTGGATTCCTATTGAATTGACTGGATTTCACCTGCAAAAATTCTGCAAAAAGTCTAGTGTCCACTTTCCAGTTTTTTCTGGAAAGAAACACCCAGTTATAGACTGTTCACATGATAACTACAATGATAACTATCACTGTAAAGTTTCTTTCGTTCTAATTCTTTGAGAATAGAGGCGTCCACATCACAACTATAACAAAAATGAAACTGAGGTACAATATAGTTGGAATCACTAAAAAGGCATAAAAGGCATGAATACAAACATTGACAGCCAATCAGAATCCACCCAAATTTAAAGAATGTTTAAGTGTAGTGTGTTTCTCTTTCTCTGGTGTTTATTAAAAGTGTATTTATTTGTGTATTCTGCATCACGCATCATCTTTATTCGACTCGCTGCATGCAACCATGACAGAATAAAGGATTTAAATGGAAAAAAGGAATGGATATTCCAGCTGTACACCTGCTTCTCCTTGAACAAGAGGATCGTTCCCTCGAGGACCACACAAGGGATTTTTTAGATCTGCCATGCCTGACTCAATATCAGGACCACTCGCTCTGCAGTTTTATAACACACCAGCCTCAACAAGTGGTCCAAGACATGCCTGCCCATGTAAGGTCCTTGAGGGAGTTTTGGCGAATATGTGGAGTGGGTACTTGTCAGATGCGACTAATTCACTATTCACTGTCTGCCTCGCTGATGAAGACATCGCCAGTCCCACTCCGGACCCAGAGCCCAGCCAGCCTTCAGCCATGCTGTATCACGCTACGAAGATAGAGCCAGAGTGATTGCCAGAGGCCACGTTCGTCCTGGAGCCCGAGCCTATTACAGAGTCTGAACAGGTGTGTGAGCTGGAAACAGCATCCATCACTGAGTAAATATTAGTTTCCATTGAGGGGATGGATTGGAGCCCCACCCACACTCCCGTTGCTGAGAGGCAATCAATGAGGTGGGTTCCCAAGGAATTATAATTTGATGAGCTGGATAATGAAATGTTTCAAGGTCCCCAGTCTCCGCTGGTCCTGTCTAGTCCCAAATTGTCTTTGTATCTGCTGGTTCAGCCCAGTTCCAAGTCATCTTCATCTCTGCTGGTTCAGCCCAGTTCTACCAGAAAGACTCGTGAGATAGAATAATGTACAAAGCATTAATTTATTGACAGCCCAGCAAGCAATTATTTATAAAGGCCCCGTCCGTAGTGCATAATCCGAGAGCTGCGGATCTGCATTTCCTGCCTGAAGATGAAGGCAGGGGTGCAGCCGACCCCCGGGGAGGCATGGACAGGACCATCCTGGTGGTGGTGGGGAGGGTGCAGGTAATTGTTGCGTCAGCATCTGCGAACTCAAACATGTGTAAGTGCCGATCCTTTATACAGCAAGTATTAGGACATGATTGGATAGATGTGAAGGTAATAAGTGACGTAGTAATTAAGTCTTACTGGCAGAACTTATGCTAAGGCTTTCATTTACAAGTCATCTTCATCTCTGAATATGACTTGGGACTGGACTGAACCATCAGTGTCATTAAATCAGACTAGCTCAAAGTCTGCTTCATCATTGTTGGCTCTGCCTAGCTACAGGTCTCCTTAATCACCATAGGCTCTTACCAGCTCCAAGTATCCTTCGACACGGATGGTCCTGCCCAGCCTCCCTCTCCCTCCTCCTCTGCCTATCCCTCCAGTTCCTAGGCCTTGCCTCCACTGTCTCCCTTCAGCCCCTCGGCTTCTCCTTCTGTGGTTCCGCCCAGCTGCGCGGATCCACCTTGGGCTTCCCAGACATCAGTTCCACCTTGGTCCAGTTCCGCCCTCAGCTCCATCTCAAGCCTCCGAGCCCCGGACTTCATCTCAGCCCTCCGACCCATCGGCTCCACCTTGGTCTGTCATCCCTCAGGTTCAACCGGGCTCTTTCGTCCCTCTGGCTCTCCTTGGACTTTTGTCACTCTGGTTCTGGTTTGGACTTGCGGATCTCCTGCTGTACCTCGACCTTTCACCCTTCTGGCTCAGCCAGGCTCCTCCTTCCCTCCGGTTCCACTATTATCCTTTGGTCGCACTGACTCCGACAAGTCTGCCAAGCCCACGCCGTCACCTCAGTAATGCACACCTGCGGCTCCACCTTGGCCCCCCAGATCTTCAGCTTCACCCTGGGCCCATGTCTCCTTGATTACTCCTGGGTCTCTAATCACAACTTCACCTCAGTCAGGGCTCCTGGCTCCATCTTGGCTCCTCCCTCCATCAGTATTGCCATGGGCCTTCGTCCTGGCTCTGCTCTGGGTCATCCTCTGGCTCCTCCCATCTCTGCCCTAGCTCCTCCCTCTATTGTCCCACCTTGGTGTTCCCTTCTGCCAGCCCATCCAAGGCTCATCCTTCGGTTCCTCGCCCATCTCCAGAACCCCTCCCTCCTTCCTCTGCTGGAGTGTAAGGTCATAGTCAGGTTCTCTTTAGTTTAGTTTTCATGGTTTTCCCTGTTTCTGTTGGCCTAATTCTCATTTCTAGTTTGTTGCCATAGTAATTAAGTCCCGCACCTGTTTCTTGTCCCTTTAATGATCATCTCTGTGTATTTAAGCCCTCAGATCTTTCTGTTCATGGTTTGGTGTCATTATCGTCAATGAGTGCGTTTACATGCACCCTTATAATGGGATTATTAACGCAATACTTTGATCAAACTAATGTGATTAAGCTCATAATCGTAGTAACCATAATCGCATTAAACTATGTGGCGTATGCTGATTTTAAGCACAATGAACAGGCATGTAAACACCTTAATCACATTATTACTGCTCTGACCAAAGTGCGCATGTGCTCGGACATAGACGGATGCCGTGTGTTGTTCACACACATTCATGAATGAATTCCAGGTCATTATTCTGAAATTTTTAAACTAAAACTCTGTCAACACATCCAGACGGAGCAAAGAACGCGACGGCAGCGTAGGCAAACCCGGCACTGCGATGTCCAGCACGGCGCTGAATAATATCCAGTACATCCATAAATAATGTATTTTGAATTTGATGCGAGTAGAATAAAACATTGGCCGGTAACATGCATACTTTATGCCTATCTGAGTGTGGTATATAACCATTCTTGATAACGTTCTGTTTATTGTAGGGATGCGCTGCAGTTTTACTGTCTGCCATTTTAAATGCTAAGAATGATTAAAACTATAGTTATCGTTATTGTTGTAGTTATCATCGTTGGTGTGAACAGAAACAAAGAGGAATGTACATAGTGCTTAAGGATATCTTGCAACTTGAATATCTTTCAAAGATTTGTTGCCATGAACCTTGCACATTGAACTGCAACTAGCTGTTCGTCCTCAAAATCAGCCTGAGCTTGTAAACCAAACTGTTTCCCGACACAGTTTAAAGCCTGTGCGCGCTGACTCACAGACATTATGTAAGGCCAGTCGATCAGATGGAGTATACATCAGCTGATCAATGAGTGTTCTGTGAGTGCTCATGGTCTTTGACATAAGGTTTTGTAGTGTTGTTAACACCTGCCCACAGTCAACAAGCAGATAAATGCACTCTAGGCTAGACGTTTGAAGAGTTTTATGTCTATTAATCTCTCTCTCTTATGTCTGACTGTTGACATGAAGTTTTTGCATTGAATGTCTCGCTTGTAACATTTCATTTGTAATGTCTCACTCTTGCAGGGCAGATGTCAGCAAATTTAAGTTCGAAGGCAAAACATTCTATGTGATTGGTGTGCAAAGAGAGGTAGGATATAATATCTTGTAAACTGTTTTTCTTTTAAAGCTCACGTTCACTGTAGTCATATGGTTCATAATGCATTTTCCCACCATGCAACGGCAATTTACTTTGACTTAAAACCATTCTGGCTTTTTTTTTTTATGTTGTGCATTACATCATGAGGATGTTATAAACACAATCTTATGTTATCTTACATTCATTTATGACCTTAGGTAAACTCACTCGCATTGTCTTTTATATATGTATTAACATTCCCGTGTCCCTATTCTTCATTATACATAGCTGAAAAGATTTTTTAAAAGATTTATACATAATAAAACCTATTAAATGGCTCTTTCAACTCAACATTTTGACACAGATTTCCGATTAGAACAGATATAAGGCCCATTCACACCAAGGACAATAATTATAAGGATAACTATAAGTATACAATTTAAATCATTGTAATTATATAATAATAGAGCCCACACCACATCTATAACGATAACTGCACAGAGGAACAATATCATTGAAATAACTTTCAGAACAATTTTTCCCCTATAGCTGATGAATAATAAAAAGCCAATTAGAATTCATCAGACTTTAAAAAACTTGAGCATTTAAAGCGGTTTAGTTATTATTATCATCCTTGGTGGAACGAGCCTTTATTCAGCGTCCTGTGCCTGTCATTCTGTTTGTGTCACGCTTTAAATCTAGTTTTACATGTGCTTCTGTCTTCTTTTCTCTGTGTGAACTTTTCCATTGCTGGTGAGTAAACATATACATCATGGCCATTGATTAACTTATGAATTATTATTATTATACAGCCTTACAGTTCCTCACCCACATATCTGTCCTGATTTTAATAAGACTTTAGTTCTTGTGCCCAACATAGAGTATTCATAGGAATTTCATGAGCAACACGGTCAGGACCTGCATAATTGTGATAAACATCATAATTATCAAGTATTTCACTGGATTTTCTAATTAAAATGATTAATTTAGAATTTACGTTGATAAAAGTAATTATTTTGTGTTAGGCAGACACATCATATTATTAGGCTGTAAAAAGTAATTGGTGATTTTCCTAAATGTATTTATTACTCATAATCTTTATTACTATATTCTCAAATATGTTTAGTATTATATATTATATAAATATTTTTAATAATATGGATTAATGGAATACATTTTTTTAATGAAATTTAAGCAATGATACTGCACAATTCAGAATAATCTCATATAATTAGTTATGTTAATGCTAGCAAATCATAAATAATTCCTAAAAGCTTTTTTTTTAGGGATAAATAAAAAATGTATCACGTTTATAGATATTATAAACTGAATATTACAGTGGTACGTGTTTTTAAAAATCCTTATAATCCTTATTCATTAAATTGCAAAAGTTATTAGGCCCTTGAGTCAAAAAGATTGAAAACCATTTGTTTAAAAGTATTTCATATTTGTTAGGTTGCTTCTGAAGTTATGCATATTATATGATGGGTATGAAACTAAAGTGTCGTTCGATGTCTAAACCTGTGTGTGTTAATTCTGTACACCATGTCATCGCCTGTCTGGTTCACCACACATGCAAGTCTGAAAGTTTCTGGGTTGATACTGTATGTGTGTGAACAGTAAGAACCATTGTATGCTGGAAGTCTGCTCCTATCTGCATGTTCACACACACTCGAACAGATGTGTGTGTGTGTGTGTGTGTGTGTGTGTTTACTTATACTGGACATGTGAATGTGTTTCACACAAGCACACGTCTGTTATATTCACTATTCCACTCAGAAGTGTTGGAGTGCAGACCGTTCACTATTCTAAGAGGTTGAGCAATGGCTGACCTGTTCTGCTACTCAAATCTCACAGAAGGATTTCTGTTTTATTGCTCATACTTAGAGTCAGGCATTTAACCAGACCTTAAAGACCTTGTGCAGCACTGACGTGAATAATAATAATACCTGTGGCTTATTGAGTAGATTTGTGCTATTACTTTTTTTTTTGCTTGTGGACAATAAAGTTAGCAAAAAATCACATAGACTTACATTGTAATATTATAACATAATATTACAACATGTAATATTACACTGAATATTCTAAAGACTAGGGGTGAACTCTATATTATGCAACCACCTAGAGCATCCTAGCATTGTGTTTAACATTTATAATTACAAAATTATGAGTTTTTATGGTTACACTTTATTTTAAGGTGTTTTTGTTAGACTGTAAATATACATTTAAGTACTGAGTATTATTCCAAAAATACCTCCAAACATTTGGTATCTCTGAAAAGCCCTGGATTCCTCCTGGAATCCATGTGTACCGGATGTGGCCCGGATTTGGGCAGACACTGTCTTGCTGTCTGGGAAGGTCCTTTTCATTTTAATCAATTATTAATGTGTGTAGCCTAACTGTCACCTCTGGCTTGCTTAGTGTAACGTACTGCGGTAGAAATAGCGATGAGGCTGGATCCAGACGCAGTGTGTCTTTATTAACAAATTACAAACTTAGACAGGAACAGGATACAAGGACTTAGAAACAGGATTCAAGGATTCAGAAATAACCAACGTTAACATCTAACATACATTCAACAACACACAAAGATGGGGCAGAAACACAGGGCTTAAATAATCATGGACAAACGAGCTAACAAGATAACAAGGGGGCGTCGGGAATAACGAGAAACACCTGGGAGAACTAAAAGACAGGACAGGGAACCACTGAACACGAAAAGACAAGACACAAAAACCCACATCATGACACTTTGTTGGGGACAATTAATATTATATTGACAATATTATTGACTTGACTGCATTGATACTATTGGATGAGAACTGAACTGAACTGGATTACGACATTACTGTTTTTCTGCAGAACTGCTAACTAATTTTACAATTGAAATTAACACTGAATCAACACCGAATTGACCTCAGCTGAAAAATGACACTATTTTCTTTTAGATCTACTGTACAGCCCAAATGAACTGTTTGCATCATTGAATCATTTTCCTGTTATCACTGTAAAGCTGCTTTGAAACAATCGGTATTGTATAAAGCGCTTTATAAAAAAAGGTGACTTGACTTGACAAAACAGGAAGTATATATACACAGAAGCAAACAAATGGGACTATATGAGACACAGGTGTAATAATCAGAAACCAAGGAAACTAACAAGGGTATTAACAAGACTAAACTGCAAGGAAACACAAGAAACACAGGCATATAAATGAAAACACAATCAAATCTAACATAATCCTGAAAGTAACTTAGAATTAATCAATTAACAAGTTTTTATTTGTATAATTTTTACAGTCTTTCCTATGGAAGCCCTGAACCGCAACGTAAAAAAAAAAAAATCCCTAAAAAAATAAAGTCTGAATATTTCGAGAATAATGTGTGTGTGTGTGTGTGTGTGTGTGTGTAATCGTACGTGGTAACCAGGAAGCATGAGGAGAAGAGGAATAACTGAAAACAGGAATTTATTACAAAGAACTCAGGAACCACACTTTACATAAACGAGAACGGACAAGGAGTGAGGGAGAACACAGGGTTTAAATACACAGAGAACAGATTATGGAAACAAGGCATAGCTGGGGCAAATTAACTAAACACAGGTGAATGAACTGAACACTAACGAGGAGCAGGAAAACTGACAGGACTAAACCAAAAACACTAAGCAGGGGGAAACACAGGACATACATGTAACAGAAGCCCCCCCTCCTGCAAGTACCTACTCCGGCGGAGTCTTCGTGCTCGTTCATAGGCGTCCTAAGACAAATTGGTAATGCCATGTTGGTAGATTAGCACCTGTAGAATTTCCTTTTGTTGAAAGCCCCCATAAAAGTAAAAAGCTACTATTATATTTAGATCCATGTCAGAAGCAGTTCGACTTCACGAGCGCATTTCTTTACAAAAAAATAAATAAATAAGAATGTCTCGGTTACTAATGTCACGGTTGCTGCCACATCCAGCGCCCTACGCAAGACTCTCAGACCCCCAACTGACTGAGGCGGAAGGCCTGAGTAGAGAGTTCAAACTGCTGTTCCGTTATACCCCACACAGTGGGACTCTTGGATAACACTGGGAAAGCGTGCCTTTCCAGGGGAGAGGGACGCTGCGGAAGCAACATTCTGCCCGAAGAGGGGTACCATGTGGAGAATATACGAATGGACTGGCCGGTTAGGGGCAGTACAACATATGGAATGTCACTGGTGTGGCTCCAGCCTGAGAAGGGGGAGGCTACACCGGACAATGACGGCAAAGCGGACTCTGCCAATTGAAAGACACGGGCTCACCCCAGGGAGCTGGTCATGGAAGAATACCCATATGGGATCGCCGCTGGGATCACCACATATGGAACCCAGCCTAGCACAAGTTATATAAGCATACGAGCACTAGGCCTGGCGTCGGACGCTCCACAACGTCCGACTGCCGAAGGGTTGCGGAGGAACTCTACTTGCTCTGATCGAGCAAGTTCGAGAACAGGTTCCACTTCAACACATAGAGGCGCCTCGTAGAGGGGGCTCTAGCGGAAGTGATGGTGTCGACTACCTCCTGGGGTAGGTCACCTAGAACCTCCGCGTCCCGTCCAGGGACCAGACATGGAGTTTCCATAGGTCTGGACGCGGGTGCCATAGGGTGCCCTGTCTCTGAGAGAGCAGGTCCTCTCTCAGAGGAATGGGCCAGGGAGGGGCTGTCGCGAGTCGCACCAGTTCCGGGAACCAGGTCCGGTTGGGCCAATACGGCGCAACAAGCAAGACCTGCTCCTCGTCCTCCCTGACTTTGCACAGGGTCTGTGCAAGAAGGCTCACTGGGGGAAACGCATACTTGCTGTGTGCCAGTGTGTCCGTGCCGAGGGTGCCCTCGGTCAGGGAGAAGAACAACTGGCAGTGGGACGTGTCAGGGGCAGAAAATATATCTACCTGTGCACCTCCATGTCAGCTGGACCACCTGGGGATGGAGTCGCCATTCTCCCGGTAGCACCTGTTGCGGTGAGAGCTCGTCGGCTGCACGGTTGAGCAGGGC